TGTAACCCCCTCCTACACACTGTAACCCCCTCCTACACCCCCTCCTACACACTGTAACCGCCTCCTACACACTGTAACCCCCTCCTACACACTGTAACCCCCTCCTACACACTGTAAGCTCCTCCTACACACTGTAAGCTCCTCCTACAGACTGTAAGCTCCTCCTACGCACTGTAAGCTCCCCCTATACACTGTAAGCTCCTCCTATAGACTGTAAGCTCATTTGAGTAGGGCCCTCTTCAACCGATCGTTCCTGTAAGTTTTCTTGTAATTGTCCTATTTATAGTTATTTATAGTTACATCCCCTCTCATAATATTGTAAAGCGCTACGGAATCTGTTGGCGCTAAATAAATGGCAATAATAATGATTGTACAAATAGACCCTGTATCAAGTGAGCTGTTGTGGTTCTGCTGGTTAAAGGGACACTCAAGGTACCCAGACCACTTCTGCCCATTGAAGTGGTCTGGGTGCCAACTCCCACTACCCTTAACCCTGCAAGTGTAATTATTGCAGTTTTCATAAATTGCAATATTTACTTTGAAGGGTTAAGTCTTCCTCTAGTGGCTGTCTACTAGACAGCCACTAGGGGACACTTCCATGTTCATAGAACACGAAAAGTGTGCTGTAGCGTCGCTGGACATCCTCACGCTATGTGAGGACCTCCAGCGTCGCTGAAATCCCTATAGGAAAGCATTGAAAGCATTATTAAATGCGTTCCTATGGGGAGGGCTGTGCATTAGGTCTACCCCATTGACTGTTGTAGCAGGCTTATGCAGTGTATGATCAAATAATGGAACTAGACCCCCATTATTTTTTCCCTAGATTAGGTGTTTTTTAAAAACTAATAAAATCTGTCAACATTGAAGTTGCTGTTTAGTGGGATCTTGTGTATTGTATGATTTGGACCCCAGCAGCACCCCATTTATGCATGTTCAGGTGAGTGCAGCCCCCCCCCCCCTGTTTTATTTTTATAATTATAATTATAATTTGATTTAATAATGTTTCCCCCCAGACCTGGAGCAACGCCAAATGGCAGCGATTATGTAAGTAATAAGGACAGCGGGGACGTTCTTTGCCGTCCGCCGGCCTTTAGAGACACCCTAAAAAGGATGGCATAGAACGCCTGCCGTCCTTAACCCCTTTTATTCCAGAAGTTTGATCCTTAAGGGGTTAAAGCGACTCTAAAATTTTTACATAATCAGTATCCATTTCTCCCAACCTGAACAGCGATGATTGGTAGAGAATAATGGGGCAGGTTAACCAATTCTTTGTCAATAAATGCGAAACTGTTAATTCATTTTTTCCACTGTATGCTAATAATAAAGGTCATGTATAAAGATGAGAACCAGATGGTTTAGAATGATACAGCTAGCTCACATATACTGACATACCCTTTTACTTCCAGTTAAAGAAACACTCTATTGCTCAAAATTCAAATCACTATGTAGTTGATATTCCCTAAATGAAAACATGATTGCATTTATTTTTGGGTGTATATCTGAAAACAGTTTACAAAAAGTTCCATCAGCCTTTGCAAGCCATACTTTTTTCCCTAGCATAGACAATCAGTATACTTTAAAATGCATCTGATTAAGAAGCTTCTGTGCTTAAATTGCCAGCATTTACGATTATATTTTTCCTATGCTTCCTAATAAGCCATAATATTCTTACTTTTGCTAAGCTGGAAAGCAGACAAGCACTAGTCCAATGAGTCTGTTGCTCTCTTAGCTCTGTGAATAACAAAGAAGAAAATAAATTTGGCAGTCTGATTGACAGACTCCAGATATAAGCTGAAGTGCTTTATGTATGTGGAGTGATCATAACGAAAGATCTAGTTCCCAGACAAATTATGGACTTTTTGCTCCTAGTTGTCACATCACAGAGTGGCATTTGATTTATATAAATGTATAGTAACAATTAAGCCAGCTGTGGGGAAACATTGATTCAAATAAATGTTCCCACAATACTCACCACTCCTCCTGTGTTCCCATGTTGCTTCATTCGCCATTCTCTGGCTATAGCTGTAGGAGTTGCAAAATAGAGCTGCCTGCTAGCTGGACAGTCTGGTCCTGCCCCTATTTTGTATATTGTAAAAACAGAATTTGAAAAGTTTATTTAAAACTATTAAATTGAGACCTTAATTTGATGAATGCCTATCTATCTATATAAATCCAAGATGGCTGTACTCACCTGAACATGCATTCATTATAAGGGTGCTGCAGGGACCTATTATTATACAAGATCCAGCATATTCACTCACTTACTAAACTCTAACTTTAAAGTTCACAAAAATGAATTAAACATTTTTTTTTAATCACTTGACTTTGGAAAAATAATGGGAAGTAAGTTACAGTATATGCAGCAAGGTTTTAAGATGGTTGGAGCTAGAATCGACCCCCAAAATTTGACTCTGCCCTTTAATTCTGTAGCTACCATCTTCTGACTTGTGGTATCTGTCCACTTATCCTCATGTACTCAACCCCTAATGGAAGTCTCCATTTAACACAGCATTACCCATACAATACTCAGAGTTGTAATGCTTCCCAATAGTCCTGATTTTGTCGGGACAGGACCTGAAAATCGGACTGTCCCATTTTTGGAGACACCAGCACATTAGATAAATCCACGCTATGTTTAGGCCACTTGGACCCTGCAGGGAGCAATGAAACAGTGCTCCCTGCAGGATCAGCCCTTAGTGAGCTGACCTCCGTGATGGTAAGGCAATCTGGCATGTATTCACGCCAGGCTGACCTGCCATAAACTCAGATTAACCCGCCTCCTTTCTGGGCAGAGCTAGTGACACAATCACATCCATTTATTCCCTACACAGGAAAAAAAAACGGAGATTTAGCCAGGAGTGTGTTTTTTTAATTCTTTATTTTGACATGTAGTGATATATCACAATAACATAACACAATACCGAGGTTAAAGGATCACTATAGGGTCAGGAACACAAACATGTATTCCTGACCCTATAGTGTTAAAACCACCATCTAGCTCCCCTGGGCCACTCATGCCTCCATAATATAGTAAAATTTTTACTGTATTCAAGCCTGAAGCGGTAACTCTGCACGCTGTTAGACTCAGAAAAACAAGCAGTCTGCTGACATCATCAGAAGTGGTAGCCTGATCCAATCACAATGCTTCCCCATAGGATTGGCTGAGACTGACAAGGAGGCAGATCAGGGGCAGAGCCAGCATGATTCAAACACAGCCCTGGCCAATCAGCATCTCCTCATAGAGATGAATTGAATCAATGAATCTCTATGAGGAAAGTTCAGTGTCTGCATGCAGAGGGAGGAGACACTGAATGTTTGGATGCATTTTAGGCAGCCATGACCCAGGAAGGATCTCTAACAGCCATCTAAAGAGTGGCCAGTGAAGTTATCACTAGGCTGTAATGTAAACACTGCATTTTCTCTGAAAAGACAGTGTTTACAGCAAAAGGCCTGAAGGTAATGATTCTACTCACCAGAACAAATTCAATAAGCTGTAGTTGTTCTGGTGACTATAGTGTCTCTATAACCTGTGTAGCGGTATAAAAAATCATCATGAGTAGGATACAAAATATGTCACCTACACAAAGGTAAATACAGCCATTAACAGTTCAGTAAGCATAAGAGTAGATTACTGCAATTCTTTACGTATATACAAGTAGGTCAGCGTTTCAAACACAAAACCCAGGAGTGTACTTTACTGTGCATAACTACTGCATCCTTGATATATCTACAACAGAAATAACTTGTTTCTTCTTTCTTTATTGTTTTCTTTTTCAATGCCACAATAAAAGTTATTAAAACTATAAGTAACAGGCAGCACAGTGTTGTCTGCCTGATATGACTGCCAATTGTTCTCTTATTCCTGGCCTTTATTGGCTTTATATACACTATATAGACAAAAGTATTGGGACACACCTCTTTTTTATTTATTTTTATTTTGTTTTTATTTATATAATGTCGTGAATAACAGTACAACAGTGCTTGTTGTGCTACCATAGCAGTCACAAGCTCAGGCATTGTATACAGGATAAAACAAGTGTAGCATGCATAAATTGAGCACATGTTCAGTTGCAGTAAAGAATTAACGTTGAAAACGAGAACCTAGATTCATCTTCGTTAAATTACAAACATTTGTATAATCAGTGTGTTTTCATTATTCCATCAGCATGTATAATACTCTGTTAATGAAAAGCATCTAGGAGATTACAATATTAAGTCTAGCAGTGTGCGTGGTTCGTCAAGGGAAGGTGCCTCAACGTTGGGTAGTATCGTATTAATGGGCCGTTACCTTTGGAGTGATGAGCTCCTGCAGGCCCTAGTATCTGGCTGGATTGATGAGCGGTACCTGGTATGATATTGCACGATATGTTCAGCGCCCTACAAGTGTCAGGTGTTGGATTGAATGATTGAATTCAGGTGTTTCAATCAGACCCATTGCCACGGATGTATAAAATCAAGCACCTTGCCATCTACATTTACAAACATTTGTGAATACAAATGGTCGTTCTGAAGAGCTCAGTGAGTTCAAGCGTGGTACTGTGGTAAGAGTCCACCTCTGCAATAACACAGCAACAAAGCGGAAAAATGTTAAGTCACAGAGTGGGGTGAGGCTGAGGCGCGTGGTGTATAAAAGTTGCCAACTCTGATTCTTTCAAACTTCCACTGGCAATAATATCAGCACAAAAACTGTGTGGCGAAAGCTTCATGGAATGGGCTAATATGGTCGAGCAGCTGCATGCAAACCTCACATCATCAAGTACAATTCCAAGCATCGGATCGAGTGGTGTAAAGCACGCCGCCACTGGACATTCTGTTGAGTGACGAATTATGCTTCTCTGTTTGGCAGTCTGATGGGCAAGTCTGAGTTTGGTGGATACATGGAGAACATTACCTGCCTGACTGCAATATGCCAACTGTAAAGTTTGGTGGAGGAGGGATAATGATATGGGGCTGTTTTTCAGGTGTTGGGCTAGTCCCTTACTTCAGCAATGTAAACAGATAAAGGCAGAACTAGTGCAGGTGGTATGGCTGCATTGGGGCCATTGGGTAGCCCTCACAGTTTAGATCACCCAATGGGCATCTCTGATCAGCGCAACCAGGTCCCTGTCAAATCAGTAGTGCTGGGAGGAAGTGAGTATAGGTCACTTACTCCTACTTTACAGTAAGAGGCACATGGGATTGAAGGAGGAAGGAGAGTCGGCACCAACCCCAGACACCCAGCAGCCAGATCCACTAGACCCTGGGGAATCCAGCCTTCTGAACCCAAAAGATATGGAAACAGGAGCGTGGCTAAACATATGGAAAATATAACTTTTGTGTGTGTATGTCAGAATTCATGTGTGTCAGTGTCTATCTATGTGTCAGAATGTCTGTGTATGTGTGTGTCAGTGTGTATGGACCTGTGTTTGTGTGGCTTTGTATGTGTATATGTGCATACATCCGAGCATTTAAAGATAAAAAAAACTACATACAAATACACTCCTGCAATCAAACACTAACACTACATTCAAATACACAATTGCAATCAAATGGCAACCCAACAAACACACCCCTACATTCAAATACCAATACTACACACAAATACACCTAGCTATATTCAAATGCCAAAACTGCATATAAACATAATCTGCATTTCAATGTCAACTCTACAGACAAAACACACCTTGAGGATTTACCGTTTGGCCACCTTTGTGCTACAGCAGAGCCCTAAAAACTCCTTGCACTAGGGCCCTCTCTGTATTAGTTCCACCACTGGAAAACACATATACAGACGGTTCACTAAAGCGATAGAGTAAATAAGTCTAACGAGGTTTATGCACTCAATAGTAAACTGTAATAAATTGAAAACCAAAGTGCAAAACTGAAATAACAAATAGGTGCCTATAGCAGAGTTGTATATTTTGTTTTGTACTTATTGTAGCGGAATGGATGCTTGCTATATACTTTTTATTCCCTTTATTCGGCTGTTCATACCCCCCTGTTCGTCTACCGAACCCCCATCTGTGTGGCCCCTTTGTGCGCAAATCATGTTTGGGCTTTATTCGAAGATTGTGCTTGTCCCATTCTAAATATGATTAAAAAAATATGATAAAAAGGAGGCTTGAGTATTAATCTGTGGGTAGGTATGAATGTCTCTTTTGGATGTGATATTGAAACACAAGGCTTGTTAATATCAAAAGACTCCATATCTAAAGGGCAATCAAGACATCTGGCAAGTGAGGGAGTTGGTTTGTACTGAGACCAGACTTCCAGGCTACTTATGTGTGACTTCTCACACCTTACAGAATAGCTTTGTTGGGGTCCCAGCTTCAAAGGGGAACTTAGGTTGTAAGCACTGACCTCCCATACAATCAAATGAACCCCTTTTGAATTTGATTTTTCTTACCTGAGAGATAATTAAATTAAAGAGTTTTTCTCATGCAATTATCTCTCAGGCACAGAGGATATTGGGAGGGAAACCCTTGTAATGTTGTACGAGAGACCCCATGTAGGGGTCAGTGCATAAACGCCATGTGTGGTGAAATAAAGCTCAGTTGACTCAACTGTGTGTCGTCCAGTTGCTGGGGGATTTTGTCTTGGATATTTTACTGCTACTTCAGCTACAAGGATTATACAGCGGAGATATCTATGCTAGGTATTGGAGCTCCGCTACACTTATTTTAAATGTTCTCATCTGTTTTTTCAATTCACTATAAATCAATGTTAGTGAATAAATACCCAAATGTGTGGATTTATATTTTTAATATCTGTATAGGAAAATGTGTTTGTGTGTGTATGACAACAGTGTATACATATGTAGATGTGCTGGTATGTGTGCCTCTATATTTATAAATGCATGTGTGAGGGGATGAGCCTATAAGTAAATAATTGTGTATTTTGGTTTGTATGCCGCTATGTACGTGCATATTTATGAGGGTTATGCTCTTCTGAAATTGTAAGAACTACTGATAAGTATGTGTTATAAAAAAAGATGTGTTGGTCATTATATCTGCAGTTTTCATTCTCCCCCTTTATTGATGACTGGATGTTCAGCTGAACAAGGCATGGCATATTATGTCATGTCAGTGGTGGATCCAGAGCCT